GTATAGCCGGCAATGAACTGGCAGACGAGCTCGCCCGCTCTGCAGCCTCCACGAGGATGGTAGGACCCGAACCCTTCACAGGAGTGGGTCCCCACACCATCAAGGAGCTGCTYCGTAAAAAGGAGAGAACAGGAAGGGAAGAGCACTGGCGACAAACTCATGGTGTGAGACACGCCAAGCTGCTAATGGGAGGTTACAACCTGAGAAGGTTCAAAATGGTAATTAACCTGCCCAAGAGCAAACTCAGGCTGTTAGTCGCATGGTACACTGGCCACTGTAAGCTGAATGGGCATCTGTACAGAATGGGCCTATCAGCTTGCGCCACAGGCACGTATAAACGTGCATATTGCATTGGAAAGTCGGCTAAACCACGGTCCTTTAAAGGAAAACAGATACCGCTGCCATATTATAATAATAGAAGTGCTTGGAACTTTGTTAAGCAGCAAACAATTAGTAATTGTTTCAAAAAGGTAGATTTCGTGTTGAAGATGGTACAAATTTAAAATAAAATTGTTCATTTCAGGCAGGCATTGACAACATTGAGTTCATTACAGATGAGATTGCAGCCACTGATGGCGAAAACTATGAATGGTGCACACTTGATAACGAATACATTCAATGCGATAGTAAACTTGTCTGCTTTGGACCCATGTCGGACGAGGATATTGTTGCGGACGTATTGGCAGTCAATGAAAATTCTAYCGAAGATGAGGAAGTGTTCGCGCAATCTAATACTTGTATTAAACACCCCTCAACGAAAAATGCCTTGCTAAGCTTAGAATCGCTGCGTGACTATTTTTTCCATAATAATATAGATCCCTTAGAGGCTTTTGAAGACATTGAAAATTTAATCCTAGAGAATTCTGAAGAACAGAAATACCAGAAGAAAATAACAGATTTTTTAAAGTAAATTTTGACAATTTTCAAATTAAATGAATTGCTGAAGTGAAATATAATCTTTAGTTAAACTGTTTAAACAATTTTTTGTTTACAACGAATTGATTGTGTATATGCATATATTTTGCATATAAGCGAATACCGCTTGTATTATCGCCTGTATGCAAATTTTTTTTTACATTATAACAATTGCATATAACCGATATCTACTGTATTTTAAAATGGCGAGAGTGAGCGAAAAACAAAAACTTCTTAAATTATTAGAAGTAGCTGCATTAAATGATTTAATGATTGTCGACAATTTTTGTGAGGACGAGGTATACATATATTTAATTTGTATTTTGCTTCAAATGAGTAAAATTCTGTTTTCTGGTAGAAGAGAAGACAATAAAAGAAGATTACATATTGGAGGAACTTCTGATTGTTTTGGCCCTAGAATGCAGATACAGTGTGCCGTTTATTCAAAATAGTGTGCCTAAGTGATGAGACTAGATTCAAGAAGATTACACGCGTAAACTGGAAAACCTTCGACTTTATTTTAAATTTAATAAAGGACCATGCGTCGTTCAACCAATTACGTTCTTGCAAACAATTCCCTCTCAAAACACAATTAGCAATCGTATTATATCGCTTAGGCTCAAACGGTGAAGGCGCTACTCTGTCTAAGATTGCTGGCTTGTTTGGAGTTAGTGATGGTGGTATCATTCAGGATAGTGTTTGTCATTGTTTTGTTAGATTAATGTTTATATTTTTCTTTATATTAGAATTTGACTGACAGAATTTTTAAAGCACTGTTAAAGAATAAAGATCAGTATCTGTTTTGGCCAAATAGCGATGAACGTAAAAAGTTTGTGACCATTCGCTTCAAATAAGACATTTAGTGTTAGGCTAGGTATTAGGCTAGGTAGCGTACATGATGCGCGTATTTTTAGTAACTGCGAATTGTCGAATGACGCCGATGTGTTTTTTGGAGGAGCTGAATGGATCGCAGGTGACAGTGCCTATAAATTGTCACGAACTGTTATAACACCATTTAGAGAAAACTCTAGAGAACTAACACAGGGTCAGCAAACTTTCTTTAACAAAATATTCAGTCGTTATAGGATTAGAATTGAACATTGTTTTGGCATGTTGAAGGAAAGGTTTGGCAGCTTGAAAACGTTGAGACTTCAAATCAATTTAGAGTACGCTTTCTTTTGCGGATCATAACCTTACGAATATGCCTCCTTATGTTCCGGCAAGGGGCTCTTCATCAAGCATTTTCTTGTTTGACGTATCAACACTTGACAATCTTATCTTGACAATGTTATCGAGTACTGTCATAACACCATTTAGAGAAAATTCTAGAAATTTAACACTAAGCCAAAGGAATATTTTAACAAAACATTCAGTCGATATAGAATTCGAATTGAACATTGTTTTGGAATGCTGAAGGAAAGATTTGGTAGTTTAAAAGGCTTAAGGCTACAAATTAAAAATGAAAATGGTATGAGAAAAGTTAAGAAATGGATTCTCTGTTGTGCATTGTTACACAACTTTATACTCCAACACGACGATTATTTCGATTACCACCCTGAGGAATCGGAGCACAGTATTGACGAGTCGTTATGGGAACCAAATGCTCGTACCAATGAAGGGCGATAAGATAAGGCGACGGAAAATCTTTGAACAATTGTTTAATCAATAAATATCTTAATTTCAAAATTATCTTCTTACTTATTTTTTCAAATAAAATTAAATTTCTTTATATCAACAAGTAACATACATTATTTGACTAGAAATAACTTAATACGGATAAAGTAAAAAAAAGCAAGGTGGACCATATTCACTAAGTCACTATAAGTAAAACAAACCAACAAATGTATTAAAAAGAAAAAGGCAAAATGGAAAAATGAAAAAATGGAATTGGAATACAGATGATTACATTTTGGCAAATTATGAGCTATTTAAGCTTTTCAATCGTTCGTGTTCCAATGTAACTTTTTCCATTTCTACTTCCATTTCTTTCTCCAACCGTAATTTCTGCAATTGAAAATTGTTTTCCTCTCTCTCTTCTTCAAATTAAAATTTTTTCGTTTCTAGTTCCAACTTCTTATTTTGGATTTCGAAATGTAATGAAAATGGATTTGAGCTACTATGAGATCTTTTCATATTTCTTCTTGGTGTAGATGTGCATGCCAAATTAGCGGACGGACTAACTACTTCATCTGCAGGCGGATACATAATAACGGACGAACTGGGTAACGGACTCGAAGAACTTGTGTCGGGATCTATCTCTGGGGTAATATATTCTATATATGTATCGTCCAACCCTGACACCAACTCTGTTGATTGATAAATCGCTGGTGACTGAACACTTATGCGACGCCCAAATATCACGTGAAGATCTTCATAAAAAGGACTTATTTTTTTATGTATTCGTCCACACTATGAGGATCACCACTTTCAAGTAAGCCTGCACCAGTCTGGCCTTTCCACTTGAGCGCAGATAAAAAAGTCGTTTTCAAATGCCTCATATTAGTCCTCATTATGTCCCATTTAATATTCATTAAATTTGGAGCTTTTTCGCCAATTTTGTTGTAAAACCTTTGGGCTGTTAGTTTCTTAAAGCAGATCGTAAAATGTAAAATAATGAAATGACAAAAAATATATCAATATTACCTCAAAATGGTCCGGATTCTCTTTTTTTGCGTCCGCTATATTTATCAAAAGGTCTTTCGTTTGGCTTTCAGACCAACGAAATGTGCCGTTTAGCCTTAATCTTTTTTTTTTTTTATTAAATAATCAATTGAATATTAATAATACAAGCCAATAATTAATTGTTAAAACACCAAATAGACGCTTCCAGCTGATTGCGAATTGCGCAAAATGCTATGGTTGCCACTGAAAACGGTCTCGCATATTTGCAAGATTGTCGTAAAATAAAATGTATGTAAAAATTAACAGCTGTTTTATGATATTGCGAATTTGCGATGTTGCCAAACGTTTACGACGTTAAATGAGTACCACTAATATTCGTTTGGTAACAAGGAATCTAAATTAGTTTGTGCTTTAGGCGGGTTGCGGATGCACATACAAGTAAAGTCATTCTCTGGTGCGTGTGTGTGTTTAATTTAATTGCCTGTGGCTGCATATAATATTTAATATTCTTACATATACATACTTATATGGAAATTTGATATTTATTATACACATATATGATAATTTATATTTATCTTTATATTTATTTACAATTTTTTTTTAGATGGGACCCCAACCCAATTATTTCAACCGGTGCGCCCGTRCAAAAGTTGCTGCGTTAGCAACTGTGCCGGCGGAGCAAAACTTTTTGCGTTTCCTAAAACGGAACTTGCTAGAAATAATTGGGTAAAGGCCTGCAATCTTCAGTTACCACTGAAAAATTTTTTTTATATATGTGAAAGACATTTTCACAATAAAGATATATCGTCAAGGCACATTTTAAATGAAGCTCTTCCTGTGCTAAATTTAAAATTTGAAGCTGACGAAACCAGTCAGCAATCGCCACAGTGGATTTTGCCACCGGTTGTACAAACATATGGTGTTTTAAAAGTCGAGTGTACACCACCTAATGATATGTCATTTGAAGAGATGGGAAATCCAAATGACATATCATTTGAAGAATTTGCCTTCATGAAATACAAATGAAGTGCGAAGATAGTGAGAATATCACTGTTCGCGATCACGAGCATTACACTCGAGTAGCTAGGGGTTTTGAAAGCAATTCTTTGAGGCAAATCAAAAAGATAAAAGAGCTAAAAAGTTTTCCTGTTGACAAAAAAATGTCAAGCTCTGGAAAAAAAAACGTCATAATATCAGGCGATGCAAATGAACATGCGACAACATGCGCAAAGATGATTTTAGAGAACAAAAAACTCCTATGATGAAATGAAGAAAGCAATGGCTTTAAACATCAATTATATTTCGACTAAGACCTTAAAAAAAATTGTTCAAGAAATGAAAACAGAACGCATATGCCAACTAATTTTCGACGAAGTCTCAATCAGAAAAGATCTGACGTGCAACAAAGTACGAGATGTGATTGATGGCTTCGTTGATAATGGAGAAGGTCACCGGGAAAGCGTGATCGGCGTTGCTTCTCTATGTTGAAAGGCTTAGTCGCAATATGGAAATATGCGATTTCCTATTATAGTGCGCGCATTTCGTTTAGCCGAATGTTTTTTTTTTTTAATTTCTACCACTTAAAGTACAAACAAGAAAATAAATCTTTTACAACTAATTCAATATATATTTTATTATTAAACAAAACAAAGATATATTCTAATATAATAATGATATTACGTAAAACAGGTGCGAATTTTGTTTAGCCGAATGTTTCAATAATAATAAATAGAGACAAAATTAAAAAATTTAGTAAATAATTAATATTTTATTTTGCCTCCATTACATTTGATTAAATCGAAAATGCGATTTGTCATACTTTCTATTCGTTTTTTTAAAGATATCTTCGTGTATTTTTTCCCAGCTGTCCTTAATTGCCCTTTTCAGTTCTAAAACAGTGCTGAATTGGCGGCCATTTTTATAAACGTCTCTTACAAGAATATCCCAAAGATTCTCGATGGGATTTAGGTCTGGACTGCGTGCAGGCCATTTCATCAATTCTATATTTTTGTCTCCAAACCAGTAAATGGGTGTTGAAAAATTGGGTCTTCTTGATGACAGTCCTCCAGAAATGAGATTAATTCTGATTCCAACATGTCCGTGTAGATTTCGCTATTCATTTTTGTTGGAACATAGCATATTCTGGATCTTCCATAATAAGAGAAGGCTGCCCAAATCATAACACTTCCACCACCAAAGTTCCTGCTCATCCTTGGTTCCTCCTTTGCTATTAAATCATGCCAAAAGTAAGTCAGGACCATCGATATTGAATTTTTTATCGTCGGAAAATATTAAATTTTTCCATTCTGACGTCCATTTCATGTGCGTTTTTGCGAACGCATCCTTGCATCCTTGTGGGCTTTTGTCAGTGCC